CAATGCAACAGAAGCAGCTCTCAAAGCATCCCAGGCAGCAAACAATGCATCTACAATAACTTCTGAAAGTCTGAATGCAGCAGCTACAGCCATGAATGAATCAGCAATCGCAGCAGAAAAAGCCCTCACAGCGTTACTATCTGCAGTACAACAAAATACGACTGCACCCCTTGACCCCAAATTAGAAGGATATGTGTCATCAGTAGCTGAGAATGCCGCACAAACCGCAAACAAATCCATAACTGCAGTAGAAAAGGCAGCTGCCTCCTTAACAGCAAACACAACAGAAGAGGCAAACCGTCTGTCAAACGAAGCGATAAATTCAGTTAAAGATACCAATAATTCAACAAACCAAACCATTGAGTCTGCTGCAAACATATTATCAACAAAATCCCCTGCAGAGATAAAGGCAACCGCAGCTGCGGCAGCATCAGCAGCAAAGATAGCATCAAATGCTGCAGCAGCAGCAGGAGCCACAGCAGCCACAGTCGCATCAGCCTCCACTGGACCACTTGCTGACAAAGCAAGGATCGCTGCAGAAGAAGCAATCAAGGCTGCTGAAGAGGCAGCGAGAATGGCAGAAGCAGTACTCAATGGGACCGCTTCACCAGAGGAAGCTATACAAGCAGCTAAAATTGCAGCACAAAAAGCACAGGAGGCATCTTTGGCAGCAAAACAAGCAGCAGACGCTCTCCCAGATTCAATGGCACCTTTTACTAACAAAATTCTTCAAGCGTCTGCCAATGCAACAGAAGCAGCTCTCAAAGCAGCCCAGGCAGCAAACAATGTATCTACAATAACTCCTGAAAGTCTGAATGCAGCAGCCACAGCCATGAATGAATCAGCAATCGCAGCAGAAAAAGCCCTTACAGCGTTACTATCTGCAGTACAACAAAATACGACTGTACCCCTTGACCCCAAATTAGAAGGATTTGTGTCATCAGTAGCTGAGAATGCTGCACAAACCGCAAACAAATCCATAACTGCAGTGGAAAAGGCAGCTGCCTCCTTAACAGCAAACACAACAGAAGAGGCAAACCGTCTGTCAAATGAAGCTATTAATTCAGTTAAAGATGCCAACCTTCAACAACAAACCAAACCATTGAGTCTGCTGCAAACATATTATCAACAAAATCCTCTGCAGAGATAAGAGCTGCCAGAGCTGCAGCAGCAGCAGCAGCATCTATAGCATCAAGTGCTGCAACAACTGCAGGAGCTACAGCAGCCACAGTCGCATCAGCCTCCACTGGACCACTTGCTGACAAAGCACAGGTCGCTGCAGCAGAAGCAGTCAAGGCTGCTGAAGACGCAGCCAAAATTGCTGAAGCAGTACTCAATGGAACCGTTCCACCAGAGGAAGCCATACAAGCAGCTCAAATTGCAGCACAAAAAGCACAGGAGGCATCTTTGGCAGCAAAGGAAGCAGCAGTGGCTCTCCCAGATTCAATGGCACCTTTTACTAACAAAATTCTTGAAGCATCTGCCAATGCAACAGAAGCAGCTCTCAAAGCAGCCCAGGCAGCAAACAATGTATCTACAATAACTCCTGAAACTTTGAATGCAGCAGCCTCAGCCATGAATGATTCAGCTATAGCGTCAGAAGAAGCCCTCAAAGCCGTATTGGCTGCACTGCAACAAACAACCATTCAACCAGTTGATGCCAAAACATTGAAAGATGCTTTAATCGCATTTCAAATAGCATCAGATCTGGTTGGAAAAGCAACACCAGAAGCGAAGACTGCAGTAGATAAGGCAGCTGCTTCTATCAAAGCAGCAACTCCAGATGAAGCAGAGCAACTGGGGAATGAAGCAATTGCCTCAGCGAGAGAATCCTTAAAATCACCTTTCAGAGGTGTCAGTTTGGCCAACACAATATCAGGCCTCACACCGTCTATGAAAGACTCAACAATAAGAACCACGACATCAGCAGCAGCCTCAGCTGCAGCCGCTGCAGCATCAACTGCAGCTGCCGCAGCAGCCTCTATTTCCACTGCTGCAGGAGCAACAGCATCTCCCAAAGCAGAGTTAGCCATGAAAGCAGCAAGGGAAGCAGCTAAGGTAGCAGCCTTAGTGGCAAACGGAGAGAGAACACCAGATGAGGCAGCACAAGCAGCACTGGAAGCTGCCAACAAAACTTTACTGGCAGTTGAGGCTGCAAAACTAGAAGCCTCTGAAGTACCTGCACCTTTGAAGAATACGACTGATGAAGTTTTAAACATTGCTTTACAATTAGCACAGGCAGCTAAAGAGGCAGCACAAGCAGCACAACTAGCCACCACAGGGACAGATGAAGCAATTAATGGAGCAGCTGATGCAGAGACACAGGTCGCGCTAAGGTCTGCAGAGGCAGCTGATTCTTTGGGTAGAATATTAAGTTCTCTGCCAGCTACAGATGGAGCACGTGCAACAGAGCTTTCCATCTCAGCAACACAAACAGTGGCACAAATGAGTGAAGCAACCGCACTGGCAGCTAAAGCTGCAACAGGTGTCACACAAACAGACACAGCTGGCATCATGTTAGAGTCTGCAAAAGCAGCAGCTACAGCTGCAGAGGCCAGTGCAATTGCAGCAGAAGTTGCACTTCCACGGTGGAACATTACTGATTCCACACCAACACCCACAACTCCAGCACCTGTAACAACAACAGATCAATCAGCAGTATCAACATCTACCGCAGCAGCGGCTGCAGCCACTGCATTAGCAGCAGCCACAGCTTCAGCAGCAGGAGCACCACGTCAGGATGTATTAGCGGCCGTGACAGCAGCTCAAGTTGCAGCTGACGCAGCCTCGGCTGTGGCAAATGGAACTCAACCTTTGACAGTGGCTGCGATAGCTGCCAGAAATGCAGCTGATGCTGCAGAGAGGGTTGTGAATGCTGCAAGAGCATCTGTCACTACATCTGAAGGAACAAAGTTAATTGAGGCAGCAAACCAAGCAGCACTATCAGCCAGGAGGGCAGCAGAAGCAGCAGCAAGAGCAAGTGTAGATTCTGCAACACTAGAAGAGGTGATTGAAACTGCAAATGCAGCCAAAACAGTGGGAGAAGCTGCAGCTACTACACTGGAGGTACTGGCAGGATCCACTCAAAATCAGGATGCAGAAATAGAAAGAATAAAACAAGTTGCACAAAGTGTGGCAGA